CATCTGATTTCTCAAAAGAAACTATGCAGGACAGAAAGGCTTGGCACAAAATATTCGACGTGATGAAGACCCAGGATCTACAACCAAGAATACTTTATCTAGCAAAGCTGTCATTTAGAGTTGAAGGACAGATGTAGAGCTTCCCAGACAAAAATAAGCTAAAGAAATTTATCAACACCAAGCCAGTATTATTGGAAATGTTGGAGGGACTTCTTTAAGAAGAAAAAACATGTATCAAAAACATACATAAAGAATGGTAATAACTATATTCCTATCAACAAGTATCTCAAATGGAAAAGAATTAAGTGCTCCAACCAAAAGATAGAGTGGCTGAAAGATTAAAAAAACAAGACCCCTACATATATTGCCTACAAGAGACTCACTTCAGATTAAAAGACACACACAGACTAAAAGGAAGGAGATGGAAAAAGATATTGCTTTGATGGACCTAGAAGGTATTTAAGTCAGACAGAGAAAGATAAACACTATATGATTTCACTTATATGTGGAATCTAAGGAATAAAAAGAACAAACTAATCATTTGACATGTTAAACTACATGAGAATCATTGTCAAATAAAAAAGTAATACTAAGCAGTCTTTATTTTGTATTTATATAAGTGTTCCAGAAATTACATGAAATTTCCAAAAATTCTGATATATCCTGGTATAATGTTATCAGTCATAATTCTAGTTATTATCTTGAATTGTTATATGTCATAGAAATAACCAAATTTACTTGTTAATTGCATCATTTTCTTTATATGTGTATGTGAACTCTCATCAGATCTTTAACCATGGCAATTTTTAAGTTTTTCACCATTTGCACACAGTTATCGTTTTACTCTGATGCTTTTGCAAAAGTGTTCCTGCGAAAATACTTCATCTTCAAAAAGGTCCATGAAAAAGACCCTGACAAGTTCTCTAGAATGTAGGTTTCTGATCACTTTAAAATTATGACACTTAACAGGGTAAGATTTCTAAAAATCTAATGGAATACTGATTGATTCATAAAACTACCAATCCAAGAAAAACAAAACAAGAATTAATCACATAAAATCGAATGAACTATGAAGATGGTTATAATTTTTATGATTTTATGTAAATCACTGCCGGTTCTCCAATGTTTGGTATTCCAGATTTAAAGCACCCCTTTTTCTCCTCTCTTTGAAGATATCTATAACTTACAGCTATTTGGTAAAGTGTATCTTCACAATAAACATTGAAGCCTTTATCTTTTTTTCTTTACCTGAGACCTTCAGAATTATGAAACTCTTTTTAAATATTCCTATTTTTCATGACAATATATTTATTTGTATAAGTGCAATAAGAATCTGTTCTCCTTAAAACAGGATATAATTGGATAAGTCCTTGGCTTTTTAGCCCAAAGAGACTTTCAAGACCTAATCTGAGATTCCTTGTGAAAAGTCCCAACAAAATTTAAAGTCCCAACAGATTTAAAAGAGCCTGTATGGACAGTCACAGTTCTTGCTGCACTGATGTAAATAATCAAGCCATGTTTAATAAAACTAGACTAATTTGCAATTAATCTTACTAGGTTTTCTTTGATAGAAATGGGGATGATTATAGAAAGAAAGATTATATTTCAGTAATACACTTTTGTGGATGTCAGTTTCTACTACTGTGAATTGTCTTTTAGGTTGTTAACCTAAAAATAAAAGGCCAAAGTGAGAGGCAACAAGCACTTATTTGTGATCTAAAAGGAATAGCTATTCAGGAAGCACTGATTCAGGCAGAAGCCCAAATGGTGTTCTGATTAGGAGACAAAAGCAAGGGATATTTATGAGAAAAAGAAGGAGAACAATTAGGTCAATAGAAGGAAGGCATTTCTATAGGTGTGCATAAGCTAACACAGTGATGCTAATTCTAAACAAAGTTTTCAATGTTCAGTCCAGTAGCCATCAGTCTGGTGGCCATTAATACCTCCTTTTTTGTTATCTTTGCAAACAGTTCTAGGGACACAATGTTGCTTCAGATCCAAAGGTTTTTTTTGTTTGTTTGTTTGTTTGTTTTTGCCTGTTTTAACATTCCAAAAGTTTGAGACACAAGGCGTACAAGGCACTTCCTCTGGGATGGCAGCTCCAACTCCATTTATTAATTTTTTACTAGATTTGTTTTCTGCCTGTATTCTGAACTGGATCCTGAATTCTTCTAGTTTCCTCCAATATTGGCTAGAACTCTCCAAATTAACATTTCCAATTTTCTCCTACGCTTTTGACTTGGAATCACTATGAAACCAAAACTGCCTTTTTCCTGAAGCTATACAAGCTAAACCTAGACAACTTAACATAAACTTTAGAGAGATCACTCCAACAGCTGACATGTGCACAATCTTCGTGACTATTGCTATGTGGGCCACTCAGATCATCAGAGATATTCAAACTGCAAACCAGAAAAATCTGTCAGATTGCCACTGCTTACTCTCACTCCATCTAAAAATGCTTTGAATCCAAACTTTACAGCTGGCCACTCTCCAAACTCAGAAACTGAATTTATAATTTGCTCAAACTATTAACCTTTGTTTTTCTTTTATTTCCATAGAAATGCCTCTTGTTAAATTACCTGATTGCTGACATCACATAGAGGCCTAATTTAGGTGGAAGCTCACCTGCAACACCACCTCCTGAAATAAAACATTCTTATGTTCATCCTGTCCTAAGTACTCATGGGGATATATATTTGCTAATACATCATGTTGTACCTATGCAAACAACTTTTAACAAACTGAAACCTACTTGATTTATTTAGTTGATTAAATATTGGGAATCTCTGCTCTGGGAAATTCTCTCTATAGTCATCATATTAACCTTTCTAACGTGTTATATACTCTCAAGGGTTTTAAATGTCTTTCAGTAGCCATTCACACACCAAATCAACATCAAGCACGTAAATGGTGAGGTTGGTGACTACATGGCCCTCGGCCTGATGCTATTAATAGAAACAGTAAATGTGTGATTCTTTGGCCTGACTACATCAACTGTGGTAACGGAGAACAATGCTATTCTGGTTTGTCATCCTCTCAGTCTGCTGAGACAATGATCAAAAGTGGTTAATTGTTAAAGTAAAAAATAAACGGAGACCAGCCTTGAAGTTTCCCTGAGCAGATGAAACCAGTTTAGTAATACAAACGAAGCTTAATTAAGTTCTTTTGCAAAACTAATTTGACCTGGGTCATTTCTGGCTTATGCCTCTGAAAATCCTAAGCAAAATTTGAACTGTTTCCCACTGTTGATATGCGGTAACCACTGAAAATTCAAATACTGTAACTGATTACTGTGAAGAATAAGCAGTCACTGCTTTTCTCACGATATAAATTTCTTTATAACAATATACCCCTGAGCTTTATTCCATATTTTGGTTTAAATGTTTCCAGTTTGCAAACTGTCTTTTTAGTGTGTGCACAATAAGTGTTTACTCATCACTATTTCAGTGATTGACTGGTTTTATTTCAGCTATTTATGAACATTTGACAAGCTTCACTCATTTTATTTTACTCCCCCCTCCCTTTTAATTTGATTTATTGTCACGTAGCAAAGGGATTTACCGGTATCTAAAAGCAGAAGATCAAGTATAGCAACGACCTGCTACATACCTGGAGTCCCGCTTCACCTCTGCTCTAGATCAGTCTGCTAGAAACCACAGCTCACAAAGTCTTGCGGGCCTGGGGCGGGGCCATCCCGTCAATTGGAGGGCCCGCAGGCCCAGGCCAGCGACGATTGGCAAGGTCTGGTAATAAGGCAGGGCTAAGGTCATCGCAGGAATTGGAGTAGTGAACAGCGAAGGACTCGGGGCTGGACGTTTATGTCCAAATTCCAGCCGCAGACTAGCAGCGGGGACTTTAGGGGAAGCATGGCTCGGCCGTACATTTGCGTGCTGACCCTGGCTGCTGTGCTGCTGCTAGATTTCCCCACGGTCTCCGGATCTAAGGGTCTCTGGGGCAAGGAGCATCGGAGGGCGTCGCGAATTCCTTCTGAGTTCAGCCAAGAGGAGCGCGTCGCGATGAAGGAAGCCCTGAAAGGTGAGACTGGGTCCCCTTTGCTCACCTGTGCTCACATATGAGTCCCTTTCCCCTTGGGCCAAACCGTGATTCCTCTCTCCCACCGCAGAGAATCCGCTACTCTAACTCGTGCTCCGCAACACACCCCAGCCCAGCCCCTGTCCCTCCCCACTTCCCCACCCGCAGCACCTCGTGCCCAAGCTTGGGAATGCCACACTTCTCTAAGCCTGGCTTCTGGCGACTACGTTGTTCCCTGTCTAGCTTCCCACTCAGGGACAAGGTCCAAAACTTACTCTCCCCCATTCCCCAGCCCCCACAGTCTTAGACTTCGTTTTCCTTTAGAAACCATATTAGCTTAAACAAACCCGAAAGACCTACATTTAAATCCCAGTTCTGCTGCTCATTTCTGAACAATCTTGAGCAGCTCACCTAACCTCTCTGAGCTTGTTTCCTCACCTTTGAATTTGGGAAAACAGTCTGCTTGCCTCAAAGGATTGTTTTGCCCTCCACAATAAGATAATGAATACAAAGAAGTTCTTATGCACAAAGGTCTGTGGAAATACCAATGGCTTTCATCATCTGTAATCTCCCATCTCTGACTATCTGACTCTGACAGGTGCCATCCAGATCCCAACAGTGTCTTTCAGGCCCGGGGAGTACAACAGAACAGCCCTGTCTGAGTTTGGCGGATACATTCGTAAAGGTCAGCCACAAACTGTGGGGAACATGTGAGAGAGGCGGGACTGGGGACATGGTTCTTTAAGAAGGTAATAAAGAGGATTTATTTTGTGACCAACCAAAGGAATTTCTAATTCCCCTGGGCGTCCTTTGAGTGTGTACATGTGAACTATCACATTGGTCCTCTCTTCTCACCCCCACTGCTTATGAACTGAAGGAAAGGTCAAGGGGGAAAAGGAGACTTGAAACTCCCCCCTTGCCATAGGAAAAGCTCATGGTGAGTATAAGGCCACCTGATTCAATGAAAAAAACCAGCCCCTTTAAAGTTATCGGGGTGGGAGAAGCTGAACTAGGAGCAGCAAGGAGCCCCTCCTATAACACTATGGGACAGACAGATCTGGCAATCATCCTCAGCAGCCAGGCTGAAGCTAGATTGGAAGTCTTTACTAAATAGGAGAAAAAAGTATGGAAATAAATGTATAAGGACAGTAAACTAGACAAACTGGCTGACTAAATAAAAACATATTCTTCTTTGGGTTTTTGTCTTCAGGTATCCACAGAGGAATTTGTGATTTCTTCCAACAAAGCCCAGAGGGAAATCAAAATTATTTCTCCCATATATCTAAGGCCACCTGTGTTAAGACTTATCTGTAACCTGAATAATTGACCCTGGGAACATCCATACTTGGACGCAGAAGTGTGGCCTTGTACTAAACAGAACAATCTTCTATGTCCATATACCATAAACAGTAGGAGTATTGTTTTCTAAAATAAAAATATCTCCTCTTTTTACATATATATGTGTATGTATGTGTATATATATATATATGTACATGCATGGATGCATTTGGCATGTTTGGTTCCAAGTAATTTAGATACTGGGCCTACTATGTTCAAAATTTCACACACCCCTAGTTTGCATAGCCTTAAAACATGTACTTATGAGCAAGACCAAGCCAGATCTTGAGCTATTTTTGACTATCATAATGGTGGAGTCTTGATGTGCATGTTACTTATTACATGACAATAGCCCATTAAAATGTGGGGAAGAGGAATTTCAGAGATTGTCCAGGCAAATCAGAAATCAGACTGGCTTTGTCCCAGAAGGCTTCCTAAAGGAGGCTGCATAAAAAGCAGAGGCACCAAATAGTGGGAAAACCAAACGAAACTTAAATCTGGCTTTCTCTTCCTGCTTTTCATCCCTTCGCTTCTAGTCTTTCCTACTGTGTTCAAAACCAGCTTTATCCAGCATGAAGTCGTGGGAGAGTACAGCCACCTATTCACTGTCCAAGGCTCGGACCCCAGCTTGCAGCCCTACCTGCTGATGGCTCACATTGATGTGGTGCCTGCCTCTGACCAAGGCTGGGAGGTGCCCGCATTCTCTGGGTTGGAACGTGATGGCTTCATCTATGGTCGAGGCACACTGGACAACAAGAACTCTGTGATGGTCTGAAATGCTGTGTTCTCTCTGCCTTGGGACCCTACAAATCAACCCAGGATGGAGGGTGCTGGGCTGATCCCTGGAAGACAGGAGGTTATGGTAGAAAAAACCTTAGCTCCAGGAGACCTAGGTTTCAGCCATCAGTTTGTCACTTTCCTTTTCTGGGCCTTGATTTCTCAGCCATGAAATACAGATTAGAGTAGGTGATCCCCAGGGACCCCTGCAGCTCTGACATTGATAAATTTATACTTTTCTCCAGGTGGTAAAGGTTTTATACAGAGCTCGGCTTCCCTACGTGCTGTCCCCTGGGACTATATGAATTTGTTCTCTTTAAAGAGAGTCTATCTAATTCTAGTCCCACCAGCCCTGATGCAGGCAGCTGAATGTCGCCCATGTCCTGATACTCCCATTTAGATAATAATTCTTGCTCCTCATCTGTTATGCTTCTGCCCCCAGGCAATCCTGCAGGCCTTGGAGCTCCTGCTGATCAGAAACTACATCCCCCGAAGATCTTTCTTCATTGCTCTGGGCCATGATGAGGAGGTAGGGCCCCTTCGCCCCATACCTATCTCTGGGACCCCTGTTGGCCAGGGGGCAGGGGAGGGATGGGTTTGTCACCCTGGTCCAGTTTGTTCCCCAGCTGCAGAGTCTTCAGGATATGACGTGGTGGTTTTCCAGCTACTCTGTGTATCTGTGTTCTAGAGCTATCTAAAGTCCTTGACCAAAATGCAGATTCCTGGGCCTTGTGTCATAGGTCTGAATTTGTTTTTTAAAGACTTTATTGTTTTAGAGCAGTTTTAGGTTCACAGCAAAATTGAGAAGGTATAGAGATTTCCCATATGCCCCCTCCCCCCACACATTCATAGCCTCCCTCGTTTTTACCAGCCCCCACCTGCGTGGTACATTTGTTACAATCGGTGAACCTACACTGACATATCATACTCACCCAAAGCCCACAGGTTAGTAACCTCTTGTTGTTGTTCATGCAGTGGATTTGGACAGTGACATCTAACCATCATTATGGTATCATACAGAGTATTTTCACTGTCCTTAAAACCCTCTTTGCTCTGCCTATTCAACCCTCTCTCCTTCCTCCAAACCCTAACAACCACTGATCTTTTCACTGTCTCCATAGTTCTGCCTTTTTCAGAATGTCAGATAGTTGGAGTCATACAGTATTAGCCTTTTCAGATTGGCTTCTTTTACTTAATGATTTGCATAGATCTGAATTTTTAACTAACTCCCTGGTAATATCTGAGGCAAGCAGGTGGCCCATCAGCTATACCTCAAGAGACACTAGTATGATGGAAAGAAAACTAACAAGGAGATCAGTGAATGTGTTTCATTTCCAGTAAAGCCACTTACTTTGACCTTGGGCAAGCCACTTCATTCTCTGGGTCCCAGTTTCTCTATTTGTGAAACGAGTGGCATTTTGCTCTTCTAGCTCTAACATTCAAGGAAACTGTGATGTAGGATTGTCTAGGGCCCTGAGAACCCCGCTACACACACACCCCGCAAAGAAGGGAGACTGAGCAGGGAGATACTAGAGCTCCTAGCTAAGCTGAATGGGTCTCCATTAGCTATCTCTAGAGGTCTGGCTGAGAAGGACTGTGGCTCTGGGTTCATTGCTTGCAGGTGTCCGGGACAGATGGAGCTAAGAAGATCTCAGCCCTGCTACAGGCAAGAGGCGTCCAGCTAGTATTCCTTGTGGATGAGGGTAGCTTCATCTTGGATAATTTCTTTTCCAGCCTCAAGAAGCCCTTTGCCATGTAAGTAAAGCACCCTCCCCTACTTTGGAAGGCATTCTCACCCATCTGAGATGACCCCAGCCTGCTATCTGTAAGCCGTACTGAAACAACACTGTGTATTACTCCTCTTGCTTTAATTTCCCTTAACTTTGACCAGTTCTGAGCTGCCCTTTCTTTCTTTCTTTCTTTTTTTTTTTTTTTAGTGTAGACTTCTTTAAGTAGCATGAAGGTGACCTCCTAGCCCACCAGACTACTGTGCAGATGGGCCTGTAGGTCTGTGGGATAATTCAGTGTGGGAGGAAGTCAGGAGGGCCTTCTCTGACCCTCTCCTACAGGATTTCAGTCTCAGAGAAGGGTTCACTTAACCTCATGCTGCAAGTAAACATGACTCCAGGCCACTCGTCAGCTCCTCCAAAGGAGACAAGCATCGGCATCCTCGCAGCCGCTGTCAGCAGGTGAGCGACCTCTCCTTGCAGGGCTCAAAATGGAAGACCAGGCACTTTCCCACTTTGAGTTTAAGAAGGCTAAGCTTCCTGCCCTGAAGCTGGGCTAAGAAGCCATGGTGGGGGCCATAGGGAGGACAGAGCCACCAGTACCCAGGAAAGGATTAGAGGTCAGAAAGGGATCTACCCATCTGACAAGCAAAGGCCAGCAAACAAAAACTAGGTCAGGCAGCTGGAAAGAGGACAAGAATAAATAATGGCCACTGACAGTGGATGAGAACAGTAGGATCCATACCAGGAGAGCTCACAACTTTCTGTTCTTTATTTGTTTTAGCAAAGTGAGAAGAACTATGTGTAATATTCAACTGGCTATCTACCATGTTTGGACTCTGTGCCCAGTGACAGGCATACAGTGGTAGAAAAAACTGCCCCTTCCCTCAAGGAACTCACAGGTAGCAGAGGAGAATGACAATTCTGCTACAGTGTGGAGGTGATATGATAGTGGGGGTGCCCTAACTTGGACATGGTAGACAGAGACAGCTCCTGCTGATAGAGTAGAGTGGTCCTGCTTGTGCTTTGAGATCTTTGAATGATTAGATTGGTGGAAATGTTAGGGAGGTGAATGGGAGACCTCCTAGGCAGGCCTGTGGAAACATCCTGTCTCCCTTTTCCTTCAGACAGCTGATCTTCGACTGCGGTAAGTAAATCTTGAGAACTCCATTTCTCTTCCAGACTAGAGCAGACACCAATGCCGAACATGTTTGGAGATGGGCTGTTGAAGATGACATTGCAGCAACTGGCTAATGAGGTGTGGGAAGAAGTCTCATATAGCAGCAGTCCCAACCTTTTTGGCACCAGGGACCGGTGCTCCTGTGAAAAGCTAATGCCCGATAATCTGAGGTAGAGCTGAGGTGGTGATGCTAGCACTGGGGACCTCCTGCAAATACAGATGAAACTTCGCTCACTCACCTGCCACTCACCTCGTGTTGTGCAGCCCAGTTCCTAACAGATCATGGACCAGTCCCAGTCTACAGCTCAGGAGTTGGGGGTCCCCTGTCATATAGTGCTACTAGTCAGCTGTGGAAGAGGAAGAAAGGGTGACAGAGAAGTAGCCTTTAGAGTAATAAAAGGGCCCGACTGCTTACGAGTGCTCTGCCTACCAGTGGCTGAGCCAAGACACAAAAATCTGACTTATTTTGGGGGATTCTTGGGGCTTGCCTGAGACTCTAAGACCTAACACACCCAGGAACTCTTTGGGAGCTGGTTTCTACTAGAGAGGTGATTCCCACCCAAGATCTAA